CAAATCATCTTGAATTAATATAAATATATATATATATATTACATGAGAATTAAAGGAAAATAAAACCAAAATCGGAAAAACTAATAAAAAACATAACCATCATAATTAGCTAGTTTTAGTCAAACTATTTACGAGATGCACATGTTCCCGGAATATCTTTCATGAGCAGTTCCTCCATGTTCGTAGGGGCTTCTTCCAAGATCACCATATCTTCAGATGATAACGCACCCTTCTTAGCTAGAAAATCTGCACAAAATTTCCTCACACAAAATATGAATGACTTGACAGGTCCAATGTCTTGATATTAGCTCTTTAATCTTATCCAATAGAACAACATACCTATGGTAATGTAAATTATCTTGTTGAAATAACTGAACCACATATAGACAATCGAACTAACAATACACATGGGAATAACCACGCTCCCAACAGAGTGCGAGTCTTCTCCACATGGCCATAAGTTCAGCATGTATATTATTACTAACTCCTATACTGCCAAGGAATCCAACCATGAACATACCCTTATTATCATGGGCTAGGCCTCCCACACCTGTTGTCCCTGGGTTTGTTAACACACTACCATCGACATTTAGTGTAACCCAATCCCCTTCCTTCGCCTTCCATCTCACCAAACGAGTACTCCTTTACCATAGACTCCCTGATGCAGGCTCACTTGCATAAGCTCTCATAAAAGCTGAACTCTATGTGATAACCCAAGCCTTTAAATTAGCCACCTTATCCAACTTTCCATTAAAGACCATATTATTTCTGGACCTCCAGATAACCCACGATAACACAAGAATGATACCTCCTTGCTGCCCCACCAAAGGCTTTAGCCAATCCTTAAGCATTTCTAAACTTGTAGGTAGTTGAGGTTTTACGCAAACCAAGAGAACTCCAAAGTGCACCAGCTCCCGGGCAATCCAACAAACAATCCATAAAAGTTTCATGATGAACATTACACATTGGAAAATTATTGTTGTCAAGGATACTCCGATGAACCAGAGCCTCCCTAGTTGGCAATGCATCATAGTAGATTTTTCATACGAAGAATTGAATTGAAGCTGACAAAGAAGTTCACCAAATCCAAAACCAATTTGTTTCATCAAGCTGAATAGTTTGTCATTGAAATAGCCATGTATATGCACTCTTGATTGAATACAAACCTGTCAATTCCGTACCCTAAGTCCAAATGTCCATAATATTCTTGGATGACACCTAGTTCACCTACTACAAGAAAAATCAGCATTATCTACGGAAGAAATCCGTAGATAAGCATGAAAATCTGTAGGTAAGTGTTAATTATCTACGGAAAAAAATCCGTAAATAATAAGATCGTAGATAACGTTACCTACGGAAATTTTTCGATAGGTAACTTTCCATAGATAATGTTACCTACGGAAAATTTTCTGTAGATAACCCACGAAAGTTGTTATCTACGGATTTTTTTCGTAGATAACATTATCTACGGAAATTTTTCCGTAGATAACCCACGATAGTTGTTATCTGTGGATTTTATCCATAGATAACCTTCAAAAAAATTATGTTTAATTTTAATAAATTTATTAATATAACAACCCTCATATTTGGTCTCTCAAGGATGTTATTTCAACGTGTTTTATCCTTATTGCACATTTTTTGGGAAACATTCCAAAAGGTCACCCATCCCTATATTACTCCAAGTCAAGAACGCTTAACTGTGGTGTTCTGATGAGATAAGCTACCGAAAAACATATGCATGTTGTCAATATAAGTAGTACAAATTAATTCATTTAAGTCATCCTCAACTATACAATCTCATACTTATACTATTTTTGGATCCCTCTCATTTTGGTGTATCCAGACCGCTATAAAAATATAAAAATATATAATAATTATATTACCAATAATAATAATTATATTATATTTAATTAATATTTATTTATATATATATACACTTACTTGTATAATTAACAATCTACTTATTTCTATTTAAAATTAATATTATGATACAATTTAAGTTATTTATTATAAATTTAAAAGTTTAAATAATAATTTACATATTTTAAAATGAGAAGGGTTATAATAACACCGGTGTAACTTTTACTAAGTATTACACCGCTCAATAACTTTATATTAAATGTGAATTTTGTAAATCCAACCGTTAGATTGAAGTTCATATCACTTTATATGTTTATATAAAATTTTGTCAAAATTGAACAACAAATTGAAGGTAATCAAAGTGTTCATATTTTAGTATATTTTGAAATGTATATATTAGGTTAATTTTGTTTTACAAGAATGAAGTATCAAATCATCTTGAATTAATATAAAATTTTGTATATGTGATCTAAGAGTAAAAAAATTTCAATCTAACGGTTGAATTTATAAAATTCACATTTAATATAAAGTTATTGAGCGGTGTAATACTTAGTAAAAGTTACACCGGTGTTATTATAACCCTTCTCTTTTAAAATATTATTTTTATAAATTAAATTTTAACATTTTAAATAAATTATATTAATTAACTTAATATATTTATTCATCTTAAATCTATGATATAAAATTTAAAAAATTATTTATTTTTTTATTTTTTAATTATCAACCATTAATAAAATACTAATTTAAAATCTTATATAATTATAACATAATATTTTCATATCAAATTTAAAACCAAATATTAGTATGTTATTTTTTATCATCATTAATTTATAAAAATAAAAAATTTAAAATGATAATTTTAACAATATTTATTTTTTACCAAATATTCTTTACATCACTTAGATAACTAAAAAATTATCTACAGAAAAAATTTTGTAGGTAATATTCCGTAGATAATTAAACATTATTTACGGAAAAAATTCTGTAGATAACTAAGTCCGTAGATAATATTCTGTAGTAATTCTGTAGGTAATATTTCGTAAATAATTAATTCTGTAGGTAATATTCCATAGATAACTAATTCCGTAGGTAATATTCCGTAGATAACTAATTCCGTAGGTAATATTCCGTAGATAACTAAACATTATCTACGGAAAAAATTTCGTAGGTAATATTCCGTAGATAACTAATTCTGTAGATAATATTTCGTAGATAATAACAGTTTTTCTTGTAGTGATCACCATCACTTCCAAACCAATATCATTTGGTATTAGGGTAGCAAGCCTCTCAAGTTGCTAAACTTCGTAAACATAGACATCTGCTACCCTGAGTTCAGCATGACTAATATGAATCTATGGGACATGCTCCCCTAAAGGCTTCTTGGATAACCAAAGATCTAACCAAAAGCTATAGTTACCATTCCCAAGCTTCAAACTAAAGCCCTCCTGCAACCAAGACTTGTCTTTTCAAATTGCATTCCACACATTCGAACCAGGCTTTGTACACGCCATAAAAAAATTATTATTGTTAACATACTTTGATGTAAGCAATCTCACCCACAGCTTCTGACTACCCTGAAGGAATTCCAAAACTAACTTGCATAACATAACAATATTTTGGAAATGAGTTATCCGCACCCTTATGCCCTTGTGCTTTCTCTTCTTAGTTACATGATGCCATCCAACCATGTGCAAACCTTGACCACCCCATCCCTTCCAAATAAAACCACAACTAACTTTATCCAAATAATCACACACATATGAAGGGAACCACTGAATTTGCATGTGATAGGCTGGAAGAGAAGTCAAAACTGAATTAACTAACGTCACCCGTCCTGGTTTATTAAGTAACCCCCTTTCCATGATGCTAGTCGTGATGACATACAGTCAACAATCCCTACATAATCATCCCTAGTACCTC